TTTGTATTGACTCCTTTCTCATTGATACCTATTAGTCTCACATTGTTCATCTTTGCATTGTCTTGCAAGTGATGAATTATTTTTTCCTGCATCCTAGTTGTTTTTAAGAGATCTTTTCTTTTCACTAGGTGCACCAGCGTCTTCAAGATCTGAACCTCTGTCTTCACTTTCACTCAAATGGTTTTGCAAGCTTGAGATTGAGATTTTAAGTTCATCTGTATCTCTTTGCCTCTGCTTCACGCGATCTATTTCTTTCCTGTATTGCTCAAAGAATCCGTCATTTTTCTAATCTCCTCTATTTTTTTAATCAATGTCTTCTTTAGAAGCAGTTATTAATTCTTTTACTGCAGAGTTTTTTTGAGATTGGGTTTCCTCCCTATGTTTCTATGTTTGATTCTTTACTTCAGATGCTATGAGTTCAGAGAATTCCTTTTTTACTTCACTAATTAATTCCGCTCTGAGTTCCTCTATGACTTTCTGCTGTTGCTTACTTTTGACGCTATTAATTCATACATTTCAGCTGAGCTAGTCTTCTGCACTTGTTCTGGGTGGGCACTGGGTTTCCTCCATATGTTTCTGCATTTGATTCTTTACTGCAGATGCTATTAATTCAGGGATTTCTTTTTCATTTCCAATCGGAGTTCCTCTATACCTCTGCAGTTGTTTATTTCAGAAGCTATTGATTCATTGATTTCAGTTGTGTCATTCCCAATTTGTTCTGTGTTAGTGTCCTCTGCACTTGTTATGGGTGGTCTTGGGGTCTGAGATTGCACTTTGCTCCTTCTCATTGTCATTTTGTGTAGCACTGTTTTCTGACCTTTGTTGTAGAGCTTTGGTACAGTTATAACCTTAGCACCTACTGAAATTCAGGTGCAGATCTACAAAGTTTGGATTTATCCACTTGTGCCTGACTTGGGTCTGGCTGCTGTGCTTAGCTCCTTCCTGCTGCTGCCCTTGGGGGTGAACCTGTTGTGCCCATCTGGCAAGACTTTCTGCTCCTGGACTAGCTGGGTGGTTCTATCCTCTATACTCTCTGCAGGGATTGCAGCTGCAGGGTTTCACCCCAGGCCTGTATGCCAGTCCTGAGCTGAGTCTGAAGGGGACAAGGCATAATAGGGGGAAGAGGAAGCTCTCCCACAGTCACCAGGCCTGGGCTACAGCTGGATTTGGGGGTTTGAGAACAGAGCAGAAGTTCTCACTCACTGGGTGGGAGTGGGGGGACTGCAGAGTGGTGGTGAGGCTCCAAGGCATTGGAAGAGAGTCTCATCCACACTGTACCTGGGCTTGGACCCAACAAGTCCTGCAGGCGCAAGGTAGCTGGAAGCTCTCCCACACACTGACCAGGCCTAGAGTAGGGCTGGATCTGGGGGTGCTGAGAACAAGGCAGAAGTTATCACTTGGCGGGGCAGGGGTTGGGGAGCTGCGGAGTGGTGGTGGGGCTCCTTAGGGGATGGAAGAGCGTCTCACCCACGCAGTGCCTAGGCTTTGACCGTACACGCCTCACCAGCACAGAGTAGCTGGAAGCTCTCCCACACACACACACATCGGAAAAATTTTTGTAAACTTTGCATCAAGTGAAAAACCAGACTACGGCCATCTTTCTGGATGAATAAAACTGTGGCCACATTGTCCAGAATTGTGGAATGAACTAAGTTGATAAACTGAGTAACACTATATTGGATTTGTAGTATAATTACAAATTGGCAGTAACATAACATGTTACTGGCACAAAAACAGACATGTAGATGAACTGAATAGAAAAAAAGACACAGAAACAATAGCCATGTACTTACAGTCATCTCATCTTAACAAGTGGCCAAAAACACACTTTGGAGAATGCACATGCAGATGGTTGAAACTAGATCCCTAAGTCTTCTCCTTTCTAAAATAAAATTAAGATAAATCACAGACCTAGATATAAAAACAGAGAATTTGAAACTACTGGAAAATAACATAGCAGAGAACTTAAAGACACTCTGAGCTGGCAAAATTTCCCTGAAGAGAACTCCAGTAGCACAAACAATAACCAACAAACAGAGGACTACATCAAATTAAAAAGCTTATTCACATCAAAGAAACAATAAGCTGAGTGAACATACAACCTACAGAATGGAAGAAAAATCTTCATTAGTTATTCCTCTGATACAGAAATGTAAGAAGAACTCAAAAAAATGAGCTACCCCGAAACCCCAAATGACCAATCAAAACTGGGCAAATGAACTGAATAGATACTTCACAAAAGAAGTAAAATGGCCAATAATATGTATTTTAATTTTTTAACATCTTTGACTACTCAGGAAATATAAATCAAAGCTACACTGAGATTCCACCTCATCCCAGCCAGAATGACTATCATCAAGAATGCAGAAAGCAGTGAATTCTGACAGAGATGCAGGGAGAAGTAAACCCTGCTACATTGTTTGTAAGACTATAAACTAGTGAAACCACTACAGAAGTTATTAGAGATTTTCAAAAAACCCAGAAACCTAGTTTGATACATCTCTAATTCTTTTGGTGTACCTCCAGAATAATTAAATATATCATACTACAGGGATGCATGTGCAGCCATTTTTATAGTGGAATGATTCACAGTAGCTAAGCTCTAGACACAGCCTTGGTGCCCACTAACAGAAAAACAGATATAGAAAATGTACACAAAAATGTAAAATATATGTATATAAATGTTTATATATGTGAATATTATTCACCCATAAAGAAAAATAAAGTCATGTCATTTGCAGTGAAATGGATGGAATTAAGGACCATTACGGGAAGCTAAATAAACCAGACTCAGAAAGCTAAATATTTAGTATTTTCTGTTATATGGGGAACCAAAAATATAAATAAATAAGATATAAAATGGACTGTTGGAAGAGATCAAAGGAATTGGGAAGGAAAAAGAGAAAGGATATAGGATTGGAAATGATTGCAATATTTTATATGTAAGTAGTCATTGTCCCAATGAACATCACTATAATGTATTACAAGCATGTATTGATAAAAATTAAGAAGAAAATTGAAAAACTATCAGAGACTTCAATGTAAGAGCTATTATTATGAACGTTAGCTACTACCTGTCAGACATTTATTTTTTGTTTATTCTGAATGTTATAACAAAAGTGTTACTGTTGTCTACATTTTTATAGATGAGGAAATTGAAGTATTAAAACTCACTTCAAGGGGCTGGGGAATGGCTCAGTAGAATAAGCGCTTGCCTGGCAAGCACAGGCCTGAGTTCAATCCCCAGTTCTGAAAAAAAAAACAAAACAAACAAACAAACAAACAAAAACTCACTTCATTTCTGGTAGGCTAAGAGCTACTCTAAGTCACACAGCAAGCCAGAGACAAAATAGAGATTAGAACCCAGGGAGTCTGATCCACATTTGGAACCATTTGAACCACAATACACTCCAACATACCAGAAAAAAATAAGAAAAAATACACAGAAGATGTGATGTGTATAAAAATGAGCTGCAAAATAGTACTCTAGGATTATGACACTAGAAAAATGTTTAGGAAATAGCTACAAGAAATCATACAAAAATAGTAAGATGCATTTGAGTAATGGAATCAAGGGTGATTTTTGTTTTCCACATTTTCTATGAGATGAATTAACTCTGAAAATATCTCCAATATATTTTTAAAGATATATTTAGCGTGCACACACACACACACACACACGAATTTTTTAAGGTCAGTAAGATTATAAGGTGCTATTCCTAAAAGGTTGTATTTTGCATAGCTGAAATCCAGAACTAGCTCAAATCAACTATGTGGTGTAAGCTCTGAAGATCAATACTAATTATAGAAACAGAATATAGCATCTTTAATATTCTTTCAAATTTTTAGGAAATATTTTCAGCTACAGTTGTAATAATGAAACTTTGATTTGACTAAAATGATACTGCTAAATTTTGATAGTTTGAACATAAAGTATTCCCTCATTTCATTTAACATTGTCTGCTGTTTCACAAGTTGCAGTAGATAGGTCCAGTTGTAGAAAATAAAAGTATTGTTTTTACCAACAGAGTTTAAATAGAAGGTAGAAATTTTATCTTGAAGTTTTGCTCCAGTAGAGGAAATATTCAATGGATAGTTCTTGGAATTGACTCAAATTCTAATCCATCTTCATGGCTTTTTGCAAGACCTTCCTCACATATCTATCTGTAAGAATAGCTTGACACTTGAAAGACACAGCACACCTGTACTTAGGGTTGCCAGGGTTAGCAAATAACAACACAGGATATTCAATAATAGTTGAATTTCCGATAACTCCCAAAATACTTTTAGTATAGGTAATTCTTGGGACATATTTATGTACAAAAACAACTCATTGCCTATCTGAAATTCAAGTTCAGTGAGAATATTGTATTTTATATTATAGCCAGATCTAAGCACAATTTTAAGGAAAAAGTTGGGTAATTTTCTTAAATTTTATGGACAATTTTAAAGTATTACCAAATAATAAGTTCATTTAATTGCAAAAATGAATATGAATATTCTGCTACAAGAAGAGATAATGAGTATTTTCTCTACAAGTAAAAATATATTATGAAATTATTATCATAAACTTCTCTTCGTAGTTAGAAAGGGTGATTTACCTGATAAGATTTTCATTCTTTCTTTCCAGTGAAAATGGCATGTTAGAAGAACCATTGAATAATTTGCAAAGTAGTGTAACTGCAGTGTTCATTAGCTGACGGATGAGTTCTTGAAATATGAAGTCAACCAGCATGAGAAATCTGGCCATTGTTTCTAACAAACACCGATACTTAGGTAGCTTGAAGTGTGTTGTATTATCTTCAGACGGCTTTGACTCAAAATATTCTTTAACATCTTTCTTTTCTGCAACCTACAGTTTAAGAAATAATCAAGGAATATGTTGAAGGCTGGCCAAATAGCTCAGTGGATTAAAACACCTGCAAGCAGGTGCAGGAACAGGGGTTCAGTCCCTGGGCCTGGCGTGCCTGTCCCCACCCCCAGGGCACACTGAGAGGGCAATCGAGACTGGGTGTGGTGGTGCGCTCCTGCAATCCCAGCTCTTGGGAGGCTGTAAACCAGTGGATCACTACGAGTCTGATCTAGTAGTGAGAGCCTGAACACCCGGTAGACCCTTCTCTAAAAATACAAAAAAAAAAAAAAAAAAGGAATATGTTGATGGCTTGTGCTAGTACAGTACTGTTACAGCCTGAACTAACTTTTTTAAGGCTTTCCTTAAAATTTTACTTCATGCTTATACTGTATTCAAACAACAGGCCCAAAGAGAAAAAATTATGTATCCTGAAGCTTATGAAGTTTAGTATCTCACAAGCAGCTCAGTCAAAGAAGGAAGGACACAGTATCTATGTGCTCCTACATAGAAGGACCCTCTGCAGAAGCAGAAAGGATAAGAATATTTGAGAACAATGTTCATTATCTTAGTGAATCTTCTTCATAAACGTTTTGTGAGGTTTTGTTTCACCTACTTATATTTTTCCTAAACAAGTGGGCATTCTTTTAAACACCTTGAACTTTCTGACTACATTGCCCTTTATATGCCAGCTCAAATCAGTTTTCCAGCACCTTGAACTTGTGTATATATAAATAGGCATATTTGTGTGCTCCCCCATATTTATGTAGATATACACCATATATATATATATATATATATATATATATATATATATATATATTCTTTGTATTGTATGCTGCACCTAGAGAAGTTCCTACACATAGTAAATAGGTAGTACTAGGACGTTTCTTAGTCATCCACCCTTGTCTTCTGCTCCCAACTTACAACACTTATTTCCAGACATATTATCTGAGCAATTCTTCAGTCAATATATAGCAACCAAGGGAATATAATTCAAGAATTACCTTGAAGAAGGTAGTTTTTATCTCTGAAATTGCTTTATCCCTTATGCCCTTAAGTTGCTTCAGTGCCTGAGTAGCTTGCTGTAACTGTTCTTCACAAAATTCATCTAAAGAATATGTTCGAGATCTGTCAAGCTAATTAAATTATATCAAATGTTGAGTGCTGCAAAGCAAAGCTCACTAACAACAACAAAGACAAGATATTTATACATCCTTGCAAGCCATAAACTATGTTATATAATTTCTATTTTATGTGCTTAACACTTTTTGTTCTATGTCTTTATATATTTTTCAAATTTAAATACCATAGTTAAATATATTGTCTAAAAACAAAAATACATTGCTATTTTTAGTTATAACCGATTATCTGAATCAGAAAAAAATTGAAGTTAAGGTATTTTCAAATATCTGTTAATTTGGGGAACTTTCCAATTCTAGAAATAATTTTTACTTTTCAATTCTCAATTTTTTGTTAAAAACATGATATGAAATGCAGGGTAAAGAGGTTAAAGTTAAATAACAGAAACAAGGCATATTTTAGTTGGCATTTTACCAGATACCTTCAAGAAGACATTTCCACCAGCTATACTATCCATTCCTGTCTGGTCCTGCATGAGTGTCATCTTTCCTCCTGGAACATTTTCTTATTTTCCTACACTTTGCTAATTTTCTTGCTGCAGTATATTTTCATCAATAAACATGCAGACCACTTTATCCCCAGATGCACTATAACAATCAATAGATCTGTGTTCAAACTCTAAGCAAGCAAGCACTGTTCTGGCCTTGGCATTTGGCTTTACTCTTGGAGCACCCCCTCTGAGAAATGTCTGAAAAACCTCCTTTCATTTCTGTTCTCACTACTGAGTTCCTATTTGAAGGCCTTATTCTTATGTTTGTTATTTTAGTGGTACACTAATTCTTTAGTGATACTATCTTTCCAATTAAAAGGTTTTCAATGAACCAGTGTCACAGTAATTTTCCTCAAATATGCTGAGTCTTTCAGTAGTCGTTTTGGGGAGTAGTTGTCAGGATTTTCCTGACCTTAGAATATCAGGAGAGACTTGCTAATCATGTAGAGTACTAGCAAGGAAAAGGGTGGGACCCAAGTATCTACATCTTCACCAAGACCCAAAATACTTCCTAGGAAGACCAACTGTTCACTCTTAAAGAAAAGACATTATCCAGCACATGTGCACAAGTGATGGCCTCTCCAGAACTCAATTCAGACACAACAAGTGATGGTGCAGACTGATAGCCACATGTGTGTTGGGAGAGAGCCTTTGGGAACTTTCATCTTCACTTTGACAATATGGCCTCCTCATAGCCAGTCTTCCCCAGGGTCTGTACCACAGTGATGCAAGCCTACTAGGACCAACTCTGAAGTAGAAATCTGATATCCTTCAGCTGAGCCTGCTCCCTGACCCCTGCCAGTCCCAGAGGCTCTTGGTCCTGCACAGTACTGTACTCATAGCCCCACAGGAGTGCCCACCCCCTTGGGGAGGTTCCCATCTCATTTCCACTTATTGTTATTCTTGGCCTGCCAGTGATGACCCAACCTGCCTTCGAACCGAACTTACTGAGTAGCTTATCCATACTTGGATTCCTTATTTAACTTCTTTTTCCCTCCCTCCCTCTATGGTTTGTTAAAGTCAGAAATAACCTATCTTTTAGTAGGAAGCTGCCTAAATTAATCCCAGATCAGGAGAAACCCTACTTCCTCTGAATATCTGTAGCATAACCACACTTTCAGTGGTGATACTGACAGTAAACATTCTATGACTTGTATTTTCCTAATTCACTAGCTAGAATAATTATTGAAGCAAGGAACCACCTCTAGGATTTATCACTTTTAGTTGTAAAAGATAAATTTTTTTTCTGATATATTATAAACAGACTGACAATGAAAGCATTTTAAATTCATTTCTTCACACAACAATTTGCCTGTAATAGACAAGCATCAAATAATTATGACATGGCTGACAAAGTTTATTCTCTTCCTCTTGATGTGCTGGGCCAGAATCTCCAGTATAGTCCCAACATCTCTTCTCTGTCACTGTTGACATTTAATCCATTAGCATCTAGGAAACACCCAGAGACTTTCTAAACTTTCTTTTGTCTTCCCATTCATTAAGTTAAGGGATACATACATCATGTCAGCCTCTAATAAAACAATATAATATGATAGCTCCCCAACTTGTCTACCTGTACATGAAAAGCATAAAAGTACACCTCAGTGACTTGAGTTTATTCTTTTGAAATATCAATAGTTTCAATATAGCTATATAAAGTATAGTTTGTCTGTAGTGATTAATTCACCTTCTTTTATTAGTTTTTTACTTATACACTGAAAAAATACTGAACACTCGCTATACTTAATGAATCCTAAAAATAAGATGTTAATTACAATGTGGCTCTTAATTATACATAAGCTGACTGTAAAATTTATAACTTGCCTAAGTCCCTTTCTATTTCTAAATCCAAGTGATTTTATCAAACTTGATTTTCAATGTGTCCCTCACAGTCAGTGAAATAAAATCTGCTGGAATCTGCTTCTACTGTATACTAAACACGTAACATTAATTTCTTCTTCAAAAAACTCATTACATGCAAATTTAACTAAGTCATTCAATGAAGATTATCACATTTTCTAGAAAGTTGAAAAAGAAAAATTCATAAATTTAACAAAAATCTGAGTTTCAATTTATGGTAAGTCTTGACATGCTATACTGGGAAAAGAATAGCTGATAACTATCAATAATGTACTAAAGATAATTATTAATAAGTAATATTGCATATATAGAGATACATTTGAAAATAATGTCATAGAATTACATGAAATATAAATTCATTCTAAGAAGGAACACTGTAAACTCAAGATTGACTTCTGAAGAAATCACATTCTGAGCAGCTGTCAACAAGGAGGATTCTTATGTGAATCCAGAAGTCTATATTCCTTTATTGTAACACTTTCTACATGCCAGCAGTAGCTTGTAGAAGGTAACTCCACTTACCTTCACAAGAAATATAGCAGATGGATTACCCACATGTTCATTATAACTATTGATATTAATAGCATCTTCACAGAGTCCTCTTATATAAAGCAAACAGGACTGAAACAATTCATCAGCCCAAAAGAGACGATTATATAAAATTGACCTGAAAGTTAAACATTTCCACATGTTTATACCTCATTCAAAATTTTTAAAAAAGGAATTTGAAGCTATCTAGCATAGTTTAGTTCATATATCTGTAACTAATATGTATTGCATTTGTCACAAATTAAATTACAATGGTGGTTACATTTAGCTGATAATGTTGTAGGCCAAGTTAGGGGTGTTGGCTGTGTTGAGTGTGGATAGCCAAGTGATATTTTTCTATTACAACACTGGATCCTAATTTGAAATATCAAGGAGTGTTATCTAAAATGAAGCATATGTCCTCAATTTATTAACTTTATTAAACTTGAATGAATTTCTTCAATTTACTTTCACCCCAATTACAAAGAAAAGTTACTTGGATAAGTGACTGTTTGGAGACAGGTTCTGAAATTTTCCAACAACCAAGAAGTCAAAATGACAAAAATTATGGGCCCTTTTCTTTGCCCCTTTCTGTCAGTTTAACCTTGGTAATAAGGTAAGACACGCCACTGTTAACAACACTGGAAATCACAAAAAAAGATGAACTAGAGGACAAAAGAACTGGGAAGTAGAAGAGGAGGACAGAAGGAGAATTGGACCAAGGAAAGCAAAACGTAACTCATGTATTTCCATCTTAAATATCCAGGGCATGTGTTGGTGAGAAAAGTTCCAGAGGGCATAGGCAGCCCCACCCCTCTAGCCTTGCTGGCCTCTCTCTTGGACTGTCTTTGATGGAGGAAAGCTGCTGAACACATGGCATCTGGAAAATACTGAGAAATGGAAGAAGCCAAAGAGGAAGGGAGGAGTGGTACCTCATTTAGTCAACTTGACTATTTCCAATGTTCTGATCACAAACTGAGTTGGATAAGAACCAAATCAAATTCAATGGTTAGGTTCAATGTTGGTCTTATAGGGAAAATTGACTTGGTTCTTGTCCAATTTAGTTTCCAACCAGAATTGTGGAGAGAATTGAAGTTGGAAACTGAGATACCATTGAAGTTCTATAGGTAGGCCATGTACCCATGACCTACCAGACACACCCAGAAGTGTACTTTGAACAATCTCCTCAGTGTTTTTCAAGCCAATCAAATTGACAATCAAGGTTAACCACACTATCAAGGCAGAAACTTCTAGACAATAATCATCCTGCACCTACCAAACATCACAGGAGAAAAAAGCACTGAATAGGATACTAGGAGTTCCTCTTTCTTGGGTGCCATAATGGGAAATCTCTAATGCCTTCATTGGGAGTGTTCAGAGAAGACCAAGTAGGGTTCTGGGACATTCATCTCCACTGGATATGAATGGATGATCAAATGGAAAGTCAAGCAAGAAACAGAAGACAAAAACAAGTACCAAATGAAAATTTTTAAATGGAAAAATAGTAACAGGAAATAAAAATGCAAGAATAAATTAAAATGTCAGAATGGAATGGACAGAAATAAATAACTAACAACTAGAACAATAGAAAATATCCAATCTGAGTAACAAAGAGAAGATTAGAAAAAACCAACCCTCATGAAATATGAAACTATATAAAAGGGACTGGCATTTATTTCTAGAGTCCCAGGGGAGAAGGAGAGGAAGACATTACTGAAAAAAGTGTTTGAACAAATCATAGGTAATAATCCCCCAAATTTGCCAAAAGAGAAACAATATTCATGAAGCTAAGAGAACATAAAACAGGATAAAGATAAATAAATTCAACAAAGCCATCTTAATGTTAAATTTCTGAAATCTAAAGACAAACAAATTTAAATCATTAAGACAAAAACACATTTTTATAGGCTAACAACAGTGAAACTGACCATAGAATTTAGAAAGAAGTGATACAAAAATGTTCAAATGCTAAAAGAAAAAAGAACAAAAACAACAACTATCAACCCAAAGTCCCTTGGGTACAGAAAAAATATTTACCAATGAAAGGGAAATCAGAATATTCTTGAGAAACGTAAGGAAAAAATTAAATCCATGAAACAGATTCAAACACATATCCAGGAAATTAAAAATTCCATTGAAAGTTTGCAAAATCACATTGACAAAAGTGAGTAAAGAACATCAGACCTAGAAGCAGGATCAAAACTAGCAATCATGAAAAGAAAGATCTCTTAAAATATCAAGGGACCATGAAAAAAATCCAACAACTACAAAATAATACAAACAGAAAAGTGTAAGATTGATCGGAGTAAATAAAAAAGCAGGAGCCAGCACAAACTACATTTAAAAAAAAAAAAAAAACTGTCATGGAAGTACTGGCAGAAAACTTCCAAGCATGGAAAAATAATTTGGCAGATAATTTAGGCATGTACAACTCCAATTAGTCATGACCAAAATAAATCTACACAAGGCATATAATAAGATTTTATAAATTCAGCACAAAAACAGAATGCTAAAAGCTGTTAGAGAAAACAAACAAACCCCCTATAATGGAAAGCCCATCAAAATCACAACAGACTTCTCAACACAAACTCTTAAATCAGAGAGAGCTTGGAGCAAAGTATTTCAAGTCCTGAAAGAAAACAACTTTCAACTCAGATTGATGTACAAACTATCATCAAAACTGTCTTTCAGAATTAATTAATATTAAGTATCTTAATATTAACTAAGATACTTCTATGACAAAGAACAACTGAAGAAATTCATGACTAACAAGTCAGCTCTACAAAGTATTATGAAAAATATTCTAGAAAGAGATAACGAGTACAATTCCAAGAATGTCAATAGAAAAAATCCAGGAGGCAGGATAAGAAATTAAACAGAGGGGAAATACAAGGAAGCAGCAGCAGGAAAATAACATGACGGGGATAACCCTATGCATAGCAGTTATAACAATTAAGGTACATGATCTCAATTCTCCAATCCAATGAAACAGACTGGCATAATGGATCAAGAAGCATGACCCAACAATATTCTGCATACAAGAAATACATTTAACTCAAAAAGAAATTTATAGACTGAAAGGCAAAAGATGGAAAACTATGTGAGAAGAACCTGGAAAAAAGCAGGGGTAGCTACTCCATTTTCAGACAATGCAAACTTCAATCCAAGACTGATCAAAAGAGATGAAGAAGATCATCACATTCTTGTCAAGGGAAAACTCCAAGAAGAAGATATATCAGGCATATATATGCAGCATATATAAGAACACCCAACTCTATAAAATGAATATTAATGCACATGAAAAATCATGTAAGCACATGTAAACACAATTGTAATGGGGGAACTTAACACCCATACAAACAGACAGATCAACTAGACAAAAATAAGTAAATAAACAAAGAAATAACAGAACTGAACAAAATTTGTAAACAAATGGACTTAGTAGATGTCTACAGTGCTCTGCCCCACAACTTCAAATTACACATTGTTCTCAGCTGCTCATGAAACATTCTCCAAAACAGACCAGATACTAGCCCATAGAACATGCTTAAATAAATGCAGAGGAATTAAAATTATCCAATGCATATCTAACAATAGTGCAATGAAATTGGAAATCAATGGCAAATGAAAGTATAAAAACTTCATAAACACATGGAAATTAAATAATATCCCCTGAACAATCAATGAGTCACAGATAAAAATAAACAAAAAATCAAACAATATCTACAACTAAATGATAATATCAGTACAACATACTGAAACTTATGGAATGCAATGAAAGCATTCCTAAAAAGGAAATTTATACTGGTGAATTCTCATATCAGGAAAATAGAACAAGTTAAAATAAACAACCTAATGATGAACTGCAAATTTACAGAAAAAGAGAACATGTCAAGCCCAAAGGTTGGACAAAGGAAGAAATGATAAACCATAGCAGAAATTATTGCAATTGAGACTAAGAAAACAATACAAAGAACCAGTGAATAAAAGAAGTGGTTCTTTGAAAGATTAAATAAAATTGATGAACCCTTAGCCAACCTTATCAAAAAGAAAAGACTCATTTATGAACTGAAATACATTTAAGAATGAAACTCATATTTAGGAATAAAAAGGGTGAAATCACAAGGGATTCTTCAGAAATACAGAAGGTCATGAATACCTAATTCAAGAACCCTTCTTCTAATAATATGGAAAACAAAAAATGGACAGATTGCTAGATACATATGAATTACCAAAGCTGAATCAAAAAGATATCTAAAGATCCCAGGATCAGTCAATTAAATTGAAAATTGTAATTTAAAACCTACCAAAAAAATTAAAGCCCAGGTCCTGATGAATTCACTGCTGAATTCTACAAGAAATTTAGAGAAGATCTAATGCTGTTATTTCTCAAAAGCTCCCAGATTCATTCCCAGAAGCAAGTATTACCCTGATTTAGAAACCAGAGAAGAATTCAACTAAGAAAGAGAACTACATGCCAATGTCTCTAACGAATATAAATGCCAAAAATCATCAATAAGATAATGGCAAACAGAATTCAGCAGATCATCAAGAATATTATACACCACAACCAAGTATGATTCATTCCAGAGATGTGGGGATAGTTTCACACATGCAAGTCAATAAAAGTAATGCACTATAACATCAGAGCCAAGAACAAAAATTATATAATCATCTCAATAGATATAGAAAAAGCATTTGACAAAGTTCAACACCCATTCATTATTACACCCTATAGAAATTTGGAATAGATGATATTTTTGGGTATCATTTGAGACAGAATCTTGCTGTGCAGTTCAGAATGTTTTTGAGCTCACTTTGTAGCCCAATCTGGTCTTGAACTCACAACAATCATTTTGCCTCAGCCTCCTCAGTGCTGGAAGTACTACCCATGTGCCACCACACTTGGCCCAGATGGTCTATATCTCAATCTGATAAAAGCTATCTATAACAAACCAATAGCCAATATACTAAATGCTCAAAAGCTGAAAGCTTTCACTGTAAAATTAGGAACAAGACAAGGGTGTGTCCACTATCACCACTCTTATTCCATATAATTCTGGAAACATTAGCTGGAGCAACAATACAAGAGAAAGAAGTAAAATGAATAAAGATAGGAAACAAAGATAAATTATCATT